CCTGATTTTGATTGCTGTGTTAATCACCCCCTTGCTTTTCATCAGCTTTCTGATCTGCTATTCCATAATCAACACTCATAGCACCAGCAGTCAGGAAATCAAAAGGTGAGTTGCACTGGGAAAATCTGCTGTCAGGGACCTATCCAGAGTCCTGAAGAGTAATGATGTCAGTCTAAAGACTAAGGTGCACCTGATCCAAGGGGTGGTCTTTGGAATTAATTGCTATGCATAAGAGAGTTGGACCATGACTAAGGATGATAAAAGAAGAACCAATGCCTTTGCATTATGGTGCTGGAGAAGAGTATTGAACATACCAGGGACCGCCAAGAGAACAAACAGGTCTACCCTGGAGAGGATGAAATCAAATTTTTCCTTGGTGGCAAGGATTTTGATGCTCCATCTCATATACTTTAGGCATGTTGCCGGAAGGGATCAGACCTTGGAGAAGGACATCATACTTGGAAAGGTGAGGGGACAGTGCAGGAGATGAAGATCTTGGATGAGATGAATTGACACAGTAACTGGGGTAATGGGGGTAGATGTGTCAGAGACAGTGAAATTGGTTTAGGATATGACAGGGTTCAGAGTTATTGTACATTGGATTGCTATGAGTTGCAGGCGATTCAATGGCACATTACAACAGTAGATTCCTAACATGTGCCAATGCACAGGAAGATGGTGGAGGATGAGACAAGACCCAACTTGACATCAGCTGGGAGTAACTAAAAAGAAAACAATGTATAGTTTTGCCTGGTTTAAGACGTTATGCAAGTCAGGCTGGCTGTGTATGTTGACTTGTACAAGACTTCCTTCTTTCTCTCTATGACTGATATTCACCCAAGTCGATGCAGCAGTGGGAATGTATACATTTTCACCATGTGTTACACTTCCTTGGGGGCAGATAGCTGAGTTTCTTACTATTCAAATCTCTCAGGAAATTCAGTTTTTCTGGATTTATGCTATCATGAATAGTGTTGCTGCCTACACCTGAGTCTCTGTCCCCTGGTACTCTGGCCAGCACCCTTACAGGGCATTCCCCTACAGGGAAATGGTGAGTCCCAGTGAATATGCATGTTCAGCTTTCACTAGAGGATTCCAACAGTTTCCAAAGCTAGGAATCTCCCACCTGCAGTGAATGACTGCATTCATTATTCTATATTATCACCACACTTGTCATTAGTTAATTTTCTCTTTCATTTAAAACTCATTATTTTATTTTAAGTAGACAAATATGTGCCTTTGCATATATAAGGAGCCTTCGTGGTGTAGTGGTTAAAGATTCCTGTTGCTAACCAAAAAGTGTGAGGTTCTAACGACAACTTCATGGGGCAGAGACAGGACAGCTGCTTTCATGAAGATTTACAGTCTCGGGAGCCCTCTGGGGCAGTTCTACTCTGTGCAATAGGGTCTAGTTTGGCTTTAATATATAAGCACATGCTGTAAGAAAACCTAGTGGCATAGTATAGAGCATATCAGGTTGTTAACCAAAAGATTGGCAGTCCAAACTATCACACACTCATTGAGAAAAAGTTGTGCAGTCTCCTCCCATAAAAAAAATGACAGCCTCAGAAACCCACTAAAGGGTTTCTATGAGTTGGAATGGACTTCATGGCAGTAAGTTATCACACATATGTCAATGGTAATCTTTCTATATCATCCTAATGAAATTAGGCACTTCAAGCTCCCTTTTCTGCCCAACAAATATTGAGAGTCTTCATGTTATGTTGTTACTGTTGTTGCTATGTGCCATCAAGTCACATGCAACTCAGAGTGACACGTACAACACTTCTGAACTCTATTCTATCCTGTGTGAACCTTATTGTCTCTGACACACCTACCCTCATTACCCCAGCCACTGAGTCAATCCATCTCATTGAAGGCCTTCCTCTCTTGTGCTGTCCTTTCACCTATCCGAGCATAATGTTCCTCTCCAAGTTCTGGTCCCTCCTTGCAACATGCCCAAAGTCTGTCAGATGAAGTTTCAAAATCCTTGTCTCCAAGGAGCAGCCTAGTCTCACCCTCTTTAGAACAGACCTGTTTCTTCTCTTAGCAGTCCATGGTATATTCAATACTCTTCTCAAGCACCACAGCTCAAAGGCATCAATTCTTTTTCTATTATCCTTAGTCATTAGACCTTTATGACATTTTTTTCTAAAAGTGGGATCTTATTACTTAAGTTATAATATATCCTGGCTTGGTTTTTTTTTTTAACATTATAATGTATCTTTGTTTTTCTAAGGGATTACTGCATCAAAGGCGTTTGTAGTTTACATCTTAATGGATATGATCACATTATGTTCCTGACTGACTCTACCCCTTTGCTTCTGCACTTGGTTTTCCTGGATCCTGAGTTTCCCAGTTCCTGCCTGCCCTGCCCACAGGCTGCCCAGAAGCTGAGAGCATCCCAAACTCCCTCACAAGAGGCCCTTTCCAGTTTCATCATTGCTCCTGTCAGACTTCCCTTCCTAGGAAATCTATGCAAATCCATTGCTATGGTTACACCTGCAGGTACCATGGTCACCTTCCTCCAGCTGCGTGGTGAGGTCAGGGCGAGGCCAAGTGAGGCTCCAGACAGCAAAGGAAGAGAAGGGGCTGGAGAGGAGGAGCGGGGGCTGAAATACGGGGATCTTCATTCTTGGGTCCACTTTCTATTCTGTCTCATAATCATGCTGACAATGAAAATACTAATAATAAAAATAATAGTTGAGGGTGGAAACAGAGGGGTGAGGATGGGCCAGGAGGGGAGAGTGGTAATCATAGGATTGCACAATTTGAGGGGTGAAGGAAATGGGAAAGATCCATTGTGAAAAACAATGTAACCAAACTTTGTAAATAAATCAGTATAAAATAAAAAAAGAAAAGTAAAATAGAATGCATATGAATGATTGTATGAAACACAATGTAAATGAAAGAGTGTATGAAAACAATGTATATGAATGAAACATAATGTCTCACAGATTTAGAACATGTTGCCAGGAGGGACCAGTCCTTGGAGAAAAACAATTTATACAAACTTTGTGAGTAAACAAAACAAGTATATAAAAAATAATATCATGCTGGAAAAGGTGAAATGCAAGATTTTCAATGAGATGGATTGACATAGTAACTGTAACAGAGGGTTTAAGCATATCAGATGTTGTGAAGATGGTACAGGACCAGGCAAGATTCAGTTCTATTGTTCATAAGGTCACTTTGAGTCAGAGTTGACTTGAAAGGAGTTAACAATATGAAAACCAATAAAAAATATTTTAAAAATAATAGTTGACATTCATGACAGAAGTTCACTCAGAGGAGATTTCCTCTCTGAGGGGACGTTTGTCAATATTTGGAGGTATTTATAATTATTACAATTTGACAAGGAGAAGCTACTGGTTTCTTGTGAGTAGAAGCAATACTGCTCAGCACAGAACACAGAACAGTGCACAGAACAGCCTCAAACAAAATATTATTTGGTCCATAGTGAGAAATCTTGGCTCACGGCATGCCCACTATTTGATTCAAACATTCCACAGATTACAAAGAGGGTTCAGGGCCTGGCTGCATTTCAGCCTATTGTACAGTGAATTATGTGATAGATGGTGTGGGAACCTTCTATGTACACCATATAATTTAATTGACATGTCATACTTTGTTCTGGGTATAACCATTATCTCCACTTTCCCAACTGAAGTAACTCCAGGTCTCTCCCAATGGGACTTTGCCTGCAGCCCCACATCTTTGGAAATATGTCACAAAGAAGCTATGAGGTTTGACTCGCCTCTCAGAACTACGTGTTGGACCTGCGAGAAAGAACTTCAAGACAGAAATCTGCAAGATCTAATAGTTAAATGGCTTTGACCTTCAGCTTAAAAACCAAACCAGCTTGTCCTGGTGGCCTGGTCAACAGGGAATAACACTGCTAACCCAAAGAGCAGACCTCTGGGATGTTTCAACCCACCAGGGGCTCCAAGGAAGGAAGATGGGTAATTTATTCTTGTTAAATGTTCCTGACTTTAGCTATTGGCATATCCTGATCCTATTTGAATAATCTCCATGATTTCATTATATTTTGATGCACAATCAACACCCATAGTACTATCAGTCAAGAAATGAAAAAAACTTGTTGCATTGAGAAACATTTGATGCCAAGGACCTCTCCAAAATGCTGAAGAGTAAAGTGTCAATTTAAAGACTAAGGTGTGCCCGATTCAAGTCATAGTATTGCTTTGTGTGCATGTGAAAATTGGACAGTGAAGGGAAGACCAAAGAAGAATCTGTGCCTTTGAATTGTGATGTTGGAAAGGAGTATTGAACATTATATGAACTGTCAAAAGGAGCTCTGGTGGCCTACTGCCTAAAAATTGTGCTGGCAACCCAAAGACACATGGTTCTAATCTATCAGCTGCTCTGTAGGAGAAAGTGGGCAGTCTCTTCCTGTATAATTTATAGCCTCTTAAAAACCACTGGACGATCAGCTATGAGTTGGCTTTTACTTGATAGCATGTAACAGCAGTAACAATGAACTGCCAATAGAACAAATAATCTGTATTGGATAAAGTGGAACCAAGCCATTCCGAAGAGACAAAGACAGTAAAATTTTGTCTCACAGATTGTTGCCAGGAGGGACCAGTTCTTGGAGAAAAACAATTTATACAAAGTTTTTGAGTAAAGAAGTATATTAAAAAAAATCATACTGGGAAAGGTGAAATGCAGGAGGAAGAAGAAGATTTTCAATGAGATGGATTGACAGTGACTGTAACAGAGGGCTTAAGCATATCAGAGGTTGTGAAGATGGTACAGGACCAGGCAAGTTTTAGCTCTTTTGTTCACAAGGTCACTTTGAGTCATAGTTGACCTGAAAGCAGTTAACAACAACAAAGCCTATAGATGTGCACTTTTCTTGGGAATGAACAGAATTTCAGGTCATTGATGATAGGAGGCCTCTGAAATCAAGAATAAAGTAGAATGAGACCTATGTTTTTGATGGAGGGGAGTGCAGCGTCTGTGTTCTCAGCTAGGACATGGAAGCCGCTGCTTCATTTTCCTTCATGGAGGCCCAGAAGCTCTTTGAGATCCTCCCCTCCGGAGAACGGTCACAGGCCAACCAGAACCGGATCACCACGCCGTACATGACCAAGTTCGAGCGTGCCCGTCTGCTGGGCATCCGAGCCCAGCAGATCGCGATGTGCGCCCCTGTGATGGTGGAGCTGGAGGGGGAGACGGACCCTTTGGCCATCGCCATGAAGGAACTCAAGGCCCGGAAGATCTCCATGATCATTCACCGCTTCCTGCCCGACGGGAGCTACGAAGACTGGGGGGTGGACGAGCTCATCATCACAGACTGAGCCAGATCCTCTTCCCCCCACTCAGTTTCTATTCTCTGGGCTTCTGTGTGTTTAAAGAATAAAGTCATTGAGTATATGGCAAAAAAAAAAAAAAAAAAAGTAGAATGTATTCACTTCCTAGAATGACCCCTAAGTGAATAATTTGAAGCATACCATCAGGCTGTCCATATTTAATTGGAAATTAAAACAGCCCAACTAAAAGAAAATGTGACAGTCATGGAGATGTGTAGAGTTCTGTACTGACGTCACAGTCACCTGAGCACATGATGATCTCTGGAAATCTACCTTTACCCTGACAGAACAATGACGAATCAGCTGGCCTTTTCAAAAAGGGTGATCCTGTGGATGAATCTTGATCCAAGCTTGGGGGAACCAAGGAGATCTTGATTGATGAACAGTGTACTAAAAGATAAGGTGTAACATTTCAGAAATAAACTGTGTTAATGTTAAATAATATTTGCATATCATAAACTTACACATTAAAAAAGAATCCAGAGTTTGGAGAAATGGAGCTAACTGTTCAAGCCCACAGCTTCTGAGGCGCAGAGGCAGGATTTGAACTCAGGTATGCTTTGACTACATCAAATGCTCTTTGGTTCCTTGCTCCTCTCTCCCCTGTCCTTGTGACTGAGCACTAGTGGGTCAGCTGTCTTTGAGCCATAGCAGATGCCAGAGGCTTGTACTTGGGGGGCATGGCCTGGGTGTAACCTTGTCATTCGTAGGGACCTCTGGAACAGAAAGAAGGGTTCTCTCTGACTCTTCCAGTTTCTAGCTGCTGGTTGTGGCTGGATGAGAAGGAGTTGAAGAAAGGGAACAGGGTGTCTCCAACCTGCACCTAAGTGCCGAGTTTAGGCCCAGCTCCCCAGGCATTCTCTGTGACCCAGGGAGTTAGCAACAGGAGGGTGTGGTGAACCCAACCCTGTCAGGTGTGTCATTCACAAACTGAAGGTGGGTTGTTCTTCACTGTAGTTCGGAGCATGTATGTATGTAAGTGTATGTATACGTGTGTATGGTTGAGAGAGAAAAAGCTCACCTATGTGTGTGCTTTAATATGTGTATCTACATATGTATATGTGTGTGAACATGTGATATGTCTTTGCGTGTGTGTGTGTGTGTATATATATATATATTTGCATGTGTGGTGTCTATCTAAATATATTGTTTGCCTGTATGTTTGAATATACGGGAGAATATGTCTGCATGCGTATGTATATTTCTGACTGTATTAATGATGACTGTTCATGTATACAGAGGCAACTGGGAAGCGGCTGCTAGGTTTAGTGTATATGAAGTGAGTCTGTGTGCATACATGGCACACATGAAGTTATCTTGGTGTGTTTTTATGTGTGTATACTTTTGTGTTTTGGTTTGTGTATGTGTGTGTGTGTTTATCTGTGTTTTTGCTTAAATGTTTACCACCAATGTGACTACACCTACCTGTCAATGTGCAGACTGTGTGTCTGTGTGTTCATGCATCTGGAGGTGATTGTGTGCAGTGGTGTGTGACTGTTAATGAGTGTGTGAGAGTTGTGAATGTGGATGAATATGAGGGTGTGCAAAGACAAACATGTACGATCCCCACCTCTCATCCCCACGATGCTATAACACAGAAGGAGGTGCCAACACTGTGATTCATTTCAAAGGCTCTCCATGCCTCACCTTTCTTTGGGAAGGAGGAATGATGAAGCTTCTACCTCCTGCCCCATCACTCAGCCCACTCCCCCTGGTGCCAGCTGTCAGGGACAGAGGTCCTTGAGCCAGCCAGTCCCTGAGACTAAACATTGACCGAGCCCTGGGGCCGTGTTTGTTTAAGCTTCCTGGGCCACTGAACACACGAAATCTGTCGGCTGGCTCCCTCATGCAGGCGGAGGAGAGCAGGTGCTGGCTTACCCAGCCTCCTGTAATTGCAGCCCCACCTCTGAACTCGAGGTTTGCATCACTGTAGGAAAAGTTTATCCTTGACTTTACATTCACGGCCCAAATCTTTCAAAGTAAGGTATGTAAACTCGAGCAATGTTTGTCAAGTCTCTGTACCTTCCTTGTTGTTGTTAGTTACTGTCCAGATGATTTCAATTCATGGAGACACCAACCCCACATATACAGAATCAAACTACTCCTACAGGGTTTTCCAGGCTGTGACCTTTTAGAAGTAGATCACCAAGTCTTTCTTCCAAGTCATGTATGGTTTATTTTCAGCTAGTAACAGAGTGTTTAACCATCACACAAACGAGGGCCTCTTACACAACTTATGTTGTTATTATGATATTTCTTGAAATTTTTTCACTTTTTCAACTACTTAAAGATTCACTTCAATTTTATTAAAGGAATTCTGTTTACATAAGGGCTAGTACTACTTATAAATTGATAGTTAGATGATAGATAGATAGATAGATAGATAGATAGATAGATAGATAGATAGATAGATTATACATACATATATGTTTATAGGAGTTCTGGTCATAGTGGTAAGGAGTTGCACTGCCAGACCAAAGGCACATGGTTAGTTTGAATCCACCAGCTTCTCCTTGGGAGAAAGGTGAGCAGTCTCCTCTCATGTGATTTACAGCATTTGAAAACCCTGGGGAGGTTAGCTATGAGTTGGTTCCTACTGAACAATACACAACAACAATATACATATTTCTATGTGACAAAAGAATTGATGCCTTTGAGATATGGTGTTGGAGAAAAGTACTGAATACCTCGTGGGCTACCAGAAGAACAAACAGATATGTATTGGAGAAAACACAGCTAGAGCGCTCCTTGGAGGCATAGATGAAAAGCTTAATCTTAGACTTTGGGCTTGTTGCTAGGAGAGGCTGTTCCTCAGAAAGGGACATCATGCTTGGAAAGGTGGAGTGTCAGCAAAAACAGAAAAGGGCTCTCAACTACATGGATTGACACAGTGACTGAAGCAATAGGCTCAAATACGTCAGAGGTGATGAGGATGGCACAGGATAGGACAAGATTCAGATCGGTTGTGCCTAGGGCTCAACCACATATTATACTCATACCAAAATAAACAATAATATTTCTTCCTCAACTCCTTGAAATCTCGCTCTCTCTTCGTTAGGATGAAAATGCTTCAGAAGTCCCTGCCTGCCATTTGCATTAAAGGGAGCCTGGCTCGGAGGTCTGATTTTCATACACCTTTCTCAGGCGCACACCTCAGGCATAAAACTAGGCAGGGCTGGCGTCACTGCCGTCAGTTACCAAGAGGCTTCCAGATCCCCAGATGGAAAACGCTTTGTTTCCGCTGTCGGGGCAGGCAGCCCCAGGAGCCTCAGGATGCAGTGTGGACAGGCCCTAAGAAGCTGCTGTGGGACCTCTTTGCCTCCAGCTCCTTGGCTGAGAGCCTCTCCTGGGTACTCAGTGGCTTATGGTGTCACTTCCTAGGTGATTCTGAGCAGGGTCCCAGGCACAGAACCTCCTCCTTTTATGGTGGCATGGATGGAAGGGGGAGAAGGGAAAAGAGGGGACGGGAGGAGAGGCTCAAGGAGGGGGGAGAGAAGGCAGATGCCCGGACAGATGGGCCTGGCTGCTGGCTCTGCCAGGCCTAATGAATTTCCTTCCCCGGCCCTCAGGCGGGTCAGCAAAGGAGCCCAGCGGCAGCATCTGGGATGATTCCAGGAGGAGGCTAATAAATCAGGCCTCGAATGATCCTTCTTCCCTGGAGAGGGAGGGTGAAGGACCAGAGAGAGGCTGGGAGGGCCCCGGGAAGCCTGCATCCCTTCCTTCTGACTAGACTGAGAGGCTGTGCAGCCCAGCCCCAGGCAGTCCCCAAGGCAGCTGGACACTGAGCAGGCCCATGCCCTCGGGGCGGGGCTGTAGGTGGTATTATTCCCCCCTAGGGGCGTGGCTTGAGAGTCTACAGGTTTGGGCACTGGGGTGCCTTCTCTCAGTGTCTCTTAGTTTACACCTGTGAATCCACTGCTCTCAGAACGACATCCTCCTCCAGGAAGGAAGCCTTCCAGCACCCTAAGGACTTCACTCACACAGTGCCCAGGCGCCCTGACACGTCCACTCCTCTGTACTGGACACACCCAGTCTGTGTCTCACCTGCTCCTCCACAAGGTGGCTGGCTACTGGGGCAGAGACGGGCTACCTCCTGGGGTCAGTCAAGGCCTGGCACCAAATAAACGTTCACTCAACAGTAGCTGAATGAAAGAAAGCGGGGAAAAAGATGGAGATGGCAAGGGCCATGTCCTCCCTGAAGGAGAAACTGAAGCCTGGCCCTGGGCAGAGGACACTGAGAGAAGTCTATCCACTCTAGCAGCTGGGGAGACTTGGGCAGCAGCACCTGGGAGCCCTATGAACTGAGTAACAATGAAACCTTAGGCTAGGCAATTCACCCTATTGTGCTTTGAGGTTCCCCTTCAAATGAGTAGGATGTCTGGCTTGTGTAAATTAAATTAAGTAAGCTGTTTGGATAGGACCAATCATTAACATGCTGGGCTGCTCACTGGACTTCTAGAAGTCTGAAGTCTCTCAGAGTGGCTCAGAAGAAAGGCCTAGTGATCTAGTCCAGAAAAGCCAGGCATTGAAAACCTTACAATGCACATGTTTACCCTGATACACCGGGGGCCTTCGTGAGACAGAATCACCTGGAAAGCAAGTGGGTTTAGGCTCTTTGGAAAGACTGAGAAACAGCAAAGTATTAACTGTGAAATCACACAATCCCTGGGCCAAATGAAAAGGAAAGATCTCCACTTAATTGAATTTTGCAGATGAGAAACAGAAGCCAGATAAGGGCCGTGGATGTGCCTCACTCATGCAACCAGCTAAGCAGAGCCCAGGGGCAGCAGCCCAGGGCATGGAGCTGAAGGGCCTGGGTCAGAGCCCAGCTTATGACTTGGTGGCTGTGAGCCACTGCCCCTCTTTAAGTCTCCACTGTCTGTCTGCAAGATCAAGGTCCAGACAGCACCTGTCTCATAGTGTTGCCAGGAGCATGAAATGAGATACCTAACAGCCACGTTTTGTGTCAGTCCTGTCAGTCACTGTAG